GGCGGTTGTGGCAGCTGGTCCCAGGTTACCTCCTGTGCCCCAGCAGTACCACAGGCACTGGTCCGTGCCATCGTCTCTGCAACCACAACAAGGGTCACAAGGGGTTGTTTTTTTTAGTTAAACTTCACAGTTGCTGACTTAAAAGATGTCTGAGTTGCTCAAAACAAATCCAAGTGCCATCCCAGAGGCAGCACAGAGGCCAAAGTCCTCCAGCTGACATGAGGCAGGAGTGGGGAAAAGGCACTTGACTACCACATTTTTTGCCTCCCCATCAGTGTCACACATGCCTGTGACTGTGAGGGACATTCTGACCTCAGAGGGGTGCACAGCCCCCTTGAAGGGCAGGTGAAGGAGGCACTGACCATCTGCCATGGCCACTGGAGAAGCCAGCTTCTCTTCTGTCTAAATGGGGCAGCCAGTTTACCTGAACTGACCCAGCTGGATACTGTCAATACCTTCCTGTGCTATGTGCTCAGTGAAACACAAAGACTAAAAAAAAAAATAATCAGGGATCAATGAATGATTTAAGCCTGTACAAAACATACTATGTTTGAGGAGCTGTGGGGCCCAGGGCTCTGGACACTGTCCTCTCCAGCTGTGAGGAGACATGGATCTGCTAAAGGCTGAGGGAAACAAGCCACTTCCATCCAAAGCCAGTGGCTTGGCCAGCAGCAGTTCCTTGCTGAATGATGTGCAGATGATGGATTACACTGCTCACATTGCCCATCGACATCGTTCAGCAAGCAGGGACAAACCATGAGGCAGTGACTCTGTGAACTGTTCCAGGGGCAGGGAAGCAGACACGTCTTCTGCAGGGTTTGGAGCTCATCCCTTCCAGCCTCAACTACAGAAACACCACCAGGTCAGAGCTTCAGCCTCAGCTACTGTTAGCACACTTGCTGGAGAGCTACAAACCATGGAATCACATGAGAGAGACAAGGTAGGGGAGTTTCCTCACCACGAAGATGATGCCACACACCGCCAGCCACCGGCGCAGGCTGGACGCCGGCTTCCACTCAAACTTGACCCAGCTGTATGGGGTGAACTGGAAGACAATCCTCTTCATTTTACCTCTGAAAAGAAAGCAGAACACATTCTTGCAGTTTTAAGAAACTGCACATAAGAGACTGCTAACATTTCCTCTTGAGGCACTGATTCAAACAGACAAAATCCCTCCATTGACCCCCCGGAAAATGCTACTTAATGAGATGAGCAGTGAGTCAGAGAGAAGCCCGTCACCTGCACTGTCACTGGGAACTTCCAGGCACTACACCCCCTGTGCAGGCAGATCTTCAGCTCTGCTTTGATCAGCAGAGACACACTACACAGGAGGCTAGTTAATTGCTGGCACAAGACTACAAGGGATTTGTTAAATTGTAATGTTCAGTGCTCCAGCTCCTAGGCCATTCTGACGAGCAGGGAATGCATTCTTTGCATAAGGACCAAACAGATCCTTGCTGTGAATAAAGAAATATGATCCTGGCTTGGACTCCAAGCTCTTTCCCACAAGCTGCCCTCACTCCTCAACACCAGGCAAAGCTCCTGACAGGTCTATTTTCAACAATTTAATCTGCAAGTTAAATAAAACTCTCATAGCAAGCTTCATGCAGTAACAAGCTACTGGAGTCATCTGAGCAGACGTGAATTCTTCAATTCACATGAAAAAACAGAGCAACAACTGGGATCTTTAACACGGGCCCAAACCTGTGGAGTTACTTCTTACACCCACTTACTTGTATGTAGGAATGTTCCAAAGTCCTTGCCATTTGTATGTTTTCAAAGAGAGCCAAGACAGAGTCTTCATCCCACAGTAAATTCCCAACCCGTTACACAAGATCACATCCATTATCCACTGCAAGGAGAAAGGGTGGTGCTGAAGAGACACTGCAGAAGGGAACACTGGAGGCACAGAGGTGCAGACACACCCCCAGCCACAAGGCCTGAGCATCCCCAGGATGCACAACTGCCAGGAGGAAGAATCTCAGCTGCCCAAGCCTGCACAAACTGTTGTGCAGATGCTGGCTGGAGCTTCTCTTCTGTGTTCACTCTGCTACAGAACAGGCCTCTGCCCACTCTGCCAGGTGAGAACTCCAGAAACACACTAGAATCTGAATGTGTTCCTACAGACTTGCTTTACTAACCAAATAACTCCATTCTTCCAGCTTCAGGCTGCTCCTAAAGAAAAGGCTTTATCTGCAGCTCCAAATGTGGAATTACAGCAGGGATTTCCCACCATGCTCTGTCCTGCTGCCAAGTGTGAACTCCAGGGATGGAGCTCTTGAGCTGAAAAATCACTGGCTCTCCTCTGCATTCAGAGCAGTGGAGCACAGAGCCTTAATTTCATTAGAAGGTTTTTTTTAAAGACAAATAGCTTTGCTTGATGTCATTATAAATAATGCATTCACTTTTATAAGCACAAGCATGCAGCAAATCATTACAAGCTTGGGGCAGAGCTTCTACTATAAGAATACAACCAAGCTGAAATACCCTAAGAGCCATAGCTGTGTGCCCTGAATCCAGACAATTCTGATTGCTCTGGTAACCAACCTGCATTTCATAGCAAAATTTAAAAATAAATACAAGTGTGTCACTGTAAGCTGGAGAGCTTGTTTTTTCCACTGAGAAATTAGATCAGAGTAGTCCCTCTGGCTTGAAAAAATCCACACAAGCAGTAATTTAGGACAAGAATGGCTACAGACCATTGTGTGCAAACACCATTTAGCCTCTCAGTAAGGCCAAAAGTTTATCTTTGAAAACCTCTTTCTAAAGCACAACAGAAATTCTAAACACAGAAATATCTACTGTTCCCAGATGGCAGTGAAGACAGGTTTGCACAGAAGGAAGAGCTGGACACAAATGACACTGTTTTGTTTGTTTGTTTGAAATAGATAAGAAAAAAGTCACCATCTGAAACGACTTACTCATAGTTTTACCTTTCTCTTGATTTCAGATTGTATGCTTTTTACCAACACCAAAGATTTGAACATGTTCAGGTAAAGCTTTAGATTCTCTCTCTGGTGTGAAATGAAACCAAAACAAATATTTAACCACCTGCAGCAGTTTGAAAAACCTGCAAAATGATCCCACAGTGACAACCAAGCTACAAACTCAGCAGAGAGAAGCAGCAAAGCTCCCGAGCTGAGCAGTCACACACTTTTGGCCACATCTACATCCTCTAGTTCTCACCACTTCCCACCCCCCTCTCTAAAACCTAAACTTCCACTCAGCCAGCCATGTCTGGGCAGTACATACGTGATCCCACCAGCATTCACTGAAGTTTGGCAGCTGGTGCTCCAGGCTGTACTCCAGGAACTCAAACATGACACTGATGATCATGCACATCCACCAGTCTCGGATCATCAATGTCTACACAAAAGGAGAGGAAAGTGTCAGGTACCACCCACAGCTGCTCAACAGGCTAAAAACCATGACAGAAACAACCACTTGCACACCAGACTGAGCAGAACCAGCCACTACCTACACTGGTGCCCTTTGGATGCTGAGATACAGAGGAACCCATCACACCTGCAGGGACAATGCTCAGACTGACTGTTTTGCCACCAGGTCTGGAAAAGTTATTACTTTTTTTCCTGATTTCAAACCTGATCACTTAAGGAATAAGTGTTAACCCTTCTGGATTCCAAACCCTGAGGACATGTGGAGCATGCTGGACTCCCCAAACCAGGCTGCAGGCTGACAGGATCATGTATCATCTCCAGCACTTCTGCAAAAAGTCTCTCTGATAAAAATGAGGCTTCTTGCAGCCCAAGGCAGGTAACAGCCTGAGTGGGCTGGCACATGGAACCCTATCCCCTTCTAGCTCCTCAGGAATGGGCTCCTGCTCTCCTTATGTCTGGTTACCAGGCTCTCACTATTTAGGTATTTTTTCCTCAGTACTTGTAAAAATAAATACAGAATGCAAGTGAAATGCTATTTAACTTTCTACTGTAATTCTCCTGGACGCAGAAGATCCAAGTGTCTCCAAATGTCCAACTCCTTATGGAAACAGAGCAAGCCCCAGACAAGCTGCTCTGCAGCCCAGGTCTCCCCATGCCTGGCACACCCCTCTTATGGGGGAAAGAGAAACCAGACCAAGGCAAAACACTCGGGAATACATCTGCACTTTGAAAGGCAAAACAAAACAACAGCTATAGCTTATTTTTAAAACAGCCTGAGCTTTTCTAGCTTATCAGATTGTGGCTATGAAACACAAAGAGGGCCTGCAGAGCAGAAGCAGGTTAGCTGGTGGGTTTGCTTGGGTTAAAGAAAAAGCTAATATTTAGACCAGAGAAAAGAGCACAACATGTGCTGAATGTGGTCTGCCAGACACAAGCACCACTGGAATTCCTTCCACATGGGTTAACAGTGATTAAAAAGTAACAAGAATTAAACCACTGCCCGTGTGATGATTTAAAATCATGGTTTGGATGGCAAGGCAGGACCTGCCTTGGGGCAGCAGCAGCACATGGTGCTCCTGTCTCTGGTCACAGCAGAGCTCCCTGCTGGATCTCAGCTCCATGGGCAACGTTCAGCCCAGGGTTCACTCTGCTACAGGAGAAAAGGCTTTTCCTTGCACTGATCTGCCCTCCACATGAATTAGGGTGGAGGGAGGAGCCTCTCAATGTATGTTACTGTGGAGAGAAGCCAGGTGACCTCACGTGGCCTTTCATCACTGCAAACCCTCAGTCCAGTTCCCAGTTCCCAGCAGGACTGACCCCCAAGCCTGGCTCAGCCACCAGGAGCAGCCAAGCTTTAACAGCAGAACAGCCCTGGGACAGAAATGCCACACAAGGCCCATTCTTACCTTCAGGTACCAGCCAAAAAAGTGAGCAGGAACAAATCCATCCAGTTTGTCCTATAAACCAAGAAGAGTGTGTAGGTCACTCTGCACCACCACCAATCCCCCATTCTCAAGGATGACTTTTTCCCCAAGAAAAATGCAGCAATTAACTTCTGATGCTTCTGACAGAAATCCTGACTGCTCTGTAGGAGTTTCTTTGTTCTCACCTACAATGAACAAACAAGCTCCCTTCAAAGCAAAGTAAAAAATGGTCAGAGGGAGAAACTGAAATTAGGATTGTGTTGATAAAGTAGAAACTACTTCTTAATGCTAAATGTCACATTCCCTGCTCTGCAAGGGCACAGCAGCAGAACATGCCCCAGCCAGAGCAAGAACATGCAATTCTTCTTTAGACCCCCACCCTGTATTCAGCAGAGCTGCTTCAATGGTACCAGTCCTGCCACCAGAATCCCCTGGGCCCACTGCCCTGCCTCCTGGGGTGGGTGCCAGACTGAACAGGACATCTGGAATTGCTCTCAGTTACTCCAGCTCCTCATGTGCTGAAGACTCCCACAGGAGACCCAAAGGGCTCGGTGCTCCTCACCTCACAGCCCTACCAGCTCCCTGCAGTCAGGGAGTGGTAAATCATCATCATTCCTGGCCCTTGAATTTCAAGTCTTCTGTTTGCCAGCAAGAAACAATAACCTGATGGTTTCTGGTGTTCAGAAAAATGCAGCTCAAGGGGAGCCTGCAACGTGCAGCTTTTGAACTCTGTGCCTCAGGGTGACTGTGAGCAGATTTGTTCAGCACACTGTCATCCCCACCTCCCAGGGGAAAGGGCTGACATCCATCACCTGAGGAACAAGGACTGCTGAACAGTTCACCCTCTCTCCTGGGCAATGTAATTAGGATACAAAGAGATACCTCCATCTGCTCAAGAAGAAAGGTCCAGAGAAGTAAGAGCTCCACGACCTACAGTCATGACCTGTTCTCTCATTCAGTGCCCAGACAATGGGCACTTTGCAGAGCTCAGCTGAGTAACCTATTACCAAAACCAGACTCATTAACAAGTACCTTTGTTCGTTTCTTACCCAGATGTTGTGGAAGGGATCACTCCCATTGCCAGGATCATAAAGAAGGCAGTTGCCACCATAGTCTCTTTCTGGCAGAGGAACACCTAAGTGTGGATCAATGTACTTCATGAACTTCCTGCCATCCTGTACAGTCTGCAAAGGAACACAAAGCCACGTTCCCTCTTAGGAAGTATTCATGCACAGAAAGTACAAAGATAAGCAAGATCAAAACTGTACCTTCCAATGGGTGGGTTTTTAAAAATGTGCTGCAGAACAATCCTTGCAATACAACCAGACCTGCAGGCATCACACAGCATACAAACCTGAATTATCTGCCTCTAATGCTAAATACTAAGGAAAGGAATTCCTACAGGATGGACTTAAGGTTTCTTAAAGATGAAAAATCAGAGCTCTGTTTCCTAAGCCCATGGGACACTCCCCACGTCCCTCCCTCCCAAGAGCTCAGCACTCCAACTGGCACAGCATCCATCCTTCCCACCACTCACCCTCTGCCCTTCCTCTCCCCTCCTCAGGCTTGGCCAGGGCAAAGGAAGAGCAAGCAGTGACTCAGAAATGCTCCTTTGGTGGCTGCCCCTCCTGTGCTAATGACCTTCTGGTTTCCTACAATGGGCAAGAGCCAGCAGCACTCCAAGGAGCCCAGGCAGGCCTTGGCAGGCTGCTGGCAGGGCTAGGGCACATGTGCTCAGCTCCCTGCAGGGCTGTGGAACAGGCAGGCAAAAGAAAGTGATTTTCAGTCAATAACCTTTCAAATAAGGTCCCACCAGCAGCACAGGTAACAGGCTTGAAGCAACCAGCAAGGCAAAAATTCTTACTATATTAGTTCTAGACAGTGACCAAACCTTGAACTAATTTACTTGGTCTCCTTCCAAATCTCCGGCTCCTTCCTGGCACTCAAGCCCCACTTGCAGAGGTGCAGGTGTGGGCACAGGAACAAAAGGGCTTGGTTACACTGCCAGGTTTACTGTTCTTGCTTATCTCAACATATTTTACCTCAACTGCTGCATTTCTGAGAAGTCACAGAATCGTAAAAGCCAGGGGAAAATTCTCAGTTTACTAAAGGACAAGAATATGGTAAAAAATAACTGGAAGTTCCAACAGTGTGTTTCTGGGAAAAAAAACTTCATCCTCAGTTTGCTGCCACTACACCAAGTTTTGTAGGAAGTTTTGGTTTCTTGCAAAAAAAATGTTCAAACCACCAATCATTCAGGGTAAAAAGTATTTCAGAAGATGACAGAAGATGAACCTGCCCCCCAGTCTGCAGGACCTAGGAAACCACCAGCTGGTGCAGCTTCAGCCAAGTCCAGCAGAGACCACACATGAGAAGCTCCAACTCCTGGTGTTTGGTCTAAACAGGGACTCAGGCTTCTTACCAACTCATTCCATGACACCCCATTGCCATGTCTGACCCAGACCCACTGGAGGTCAGACAGCAAGGTGACATATTTCTAGAATATTATAATTCTTCCTCAACCTAGAAGTAAGTCCCATTAAGCAGCACAATTATTTGATCTCACAACAATGAAGAGTATCTCCTGGAGTCAGCAGGTATCCTGCAGAACAGCACACATGACTATTGAGCTGGCATTCAGTGACCAGAGGGCTGAGGCACTTACCTGGAAGAGTATGAAGATGAGGAAGAGCTCATACACAACGCTGACACAGAGCCAAAACCTCCAGTAAGCTGCAGAAACAGACAAGGGGATGTCAGCCAGCCTCCCAGCACAGCAGCAGTCCATCATTCATCTACTGTCACTATGCATTTCAAGAGGAGATACTCCCACCACGAAGTTAGGAAGCCCAGCATGCAAGGGAAGTGTTCACCATCCTGCCCAAAGAGCACAGCCAGGGAGGCTCTTGGACTCCCAGACAGGCTTCTATCTATGGAAATCTGCCAGAATTGCTCAGGCAATGGTCTGGATCTGTGGGAAGGGACCAGAATGCATAAAAATGCCTCAACCCAGTGAGCTAAATACTTAGGAAGCAGAAGGAATGGCATGTGCCACTTGCAATGCTTCCCAGCAGCCCAGGGCAGAGAACAATATCCTTCCTGAACTATCCTTTCTTTCTCTTCTTTCCCACCTCACCTGACCAGCTTTGGCTCTCCCAGCCCTATCACAGCCAAGGCTCTTGGCCAACTTCTGCCTCTCTACAGACAGGACTGAGACCAGCAGGAGGAACCACTGCTTTCACTTCTGTAAGCCCATCGTCTCCCCTGAAGACAAGACTGTTCCTCAGGAGGCAGGAACTATTCCAAGACACCAAAGGTTCCTTCACTTTCACTAGGAATTTTTATTTTTTTTAAATTGTACCAAAGGTTTATCAGGTACTAGATACCAGACCCATCAGATAATCTGAAGCTCTTCATAGTAAGAGAAACATCCTGCAAAACTCAGCTGCCTCAGAGCCTGCAGTGGTTTTTCACCCTCCCAAGCTGTGTGATTACAGCTCTTCTCACTCTGCAGCAGCACCTGAACCTACAGGGCACACAAACTCAAGTATTTGTGCACTTCCAGCTCTGTCACTGTCACCTCAGCTCCTCTGACAGACTCAGTCCTCAGGTGACAGGCTCTGGCTGTCCTGAGTACCAGCTCTGTGGTCCATGGGCTGTGTCTGTGTCCCCAAACCATCCTGCTCCCCACCCTTGCCTTCCTTCCACGTGGTGACCTCTGGGCTCTGAGAGCTCACCTGGCCTTCTGTGAGCTCCTGAGCAGGGGAAGGTGGTGAACACAGAGCCAGGACTTGCACAGGGTGCTCCAGCACTTCTAACCACATCAAGGATCCACACAGGGCAATGCAGCAAAACTTGACTCACTGCAAGTGGGGATTAAATCTCTCACGTGTTAATCACTTTGGAATGGTTTAATAGACTTTCCTTCAGGTGTTTCCTGTTTACACTTCCAAAGCAGAGCTCTCCTTGCACAGTTACACTTGGAGAGAGTCAGGGCTGCACTGGGGCACAGAGGAATCCAGAGGGTGGCTGCCATGGCTGGGTAGAGAACAAGGAGCTTCTCCACTGGCAGCAGTGAAAAAGCAAGAACCTTCAGGCCGTATTTGGGCATTTATCTCTACTATCCCCAAGGCAACTTGGGTCTGTTCATGCCTAAAAGCAGGACCATGACACAACTAATGCAAGAACTAAACAAACTCTAGGCTTGCAAACCTATTTGTTCATCAGCTCAGCACCTGCCATCAACCAGCCATGGTGCTGCAGAGCTTCCCAGGGGCTTGTCTGCCCCCTGAAGCAAAAATCACTGTTGTCTTTGGCCAATTCACCCTCAATTAAAAAAAAAAAAAAGCAGCTTCATTTCTAACAGGAGCCTCTCATAGCCTGCTTCTGACACCATCATTGAAACAGGCTGAAATGTGAGAAGCTGTCAACTTTTTTCAGCAAAACTGCCAAGCTGGTTTAATGAAAATGGCCCACTTTGCCCTTGCAGAAGAAGAAAACCCCAACAAGCAAACAAAACAAAACAAAACACAGGGAAAAATAAAACAGGCAGGTGTGGCCTGGATAGCAGGAAGTTCAGGCTCTGCAACAGCTTCCACTGAAAATTTGGAACTTTTAAGATTTTTACTTAACACGTCTAGAAACTTAATTGGAATTTCTTAATTAGGCAGCACGATGAAATGCCTTCTTAAGGGTCAGTTATTAAAAAAATCAGACAAATGTCTAAACACGAGGTGGTTTTTGCCCTTGCTCTCCCTGAGGGAAGCAAGCCCAGCCCACCCTGCCCTTGGTGAGGCACTAACCAGAGCCCCGGCTGCTGCCCTCCCCGCACAGCAGCTACAGAAACCACAGCTTCAGGCTTCTGCCTTTCCTCGAGGTTTGATTAACTTTCAAATCCACTGGCAAACTTCTCCTGGCAGGACTGACTGAGGGAGCAACCTCCTGTCTCTCTAGAATGCAGCTTAGGGAAGGCAAGCAAGCAAGAAACCCTCCACTGGTGAAAGGATCTGAAGAGAGGAACCTCTGCCCAGCCCGGCGGTGCCTTCCAGTTGGGTCAGCAGGGCAGGACCACGGTGCTGAGGGGCTGTGAAGTCACCAAAACCTCAGTTTGGATTTGATAAGGTGTCTGCTGTTCTCTCCTATAACGGCTGCACACCTTGAAGAGTAAGGACTGTGTTCATGCCAGAATTAACCTTTAGTGAGCACGCTGCCCCCGTGGGAGGGCGCGTGGCTCCCTTCACACACCACCACGTTTCTTCTGACCTGTGCAGCCCTGCATGGCAGACCTGACACCACCCAGACTGTGCCTGACTAGTTCTGCAACTGATGCACACACGGTTCAGAAAGCAGAGAATCTAGACCCTCATCTGAGCTCTCCTGCTCCTGTGTACACAGGGTTCTGGCAGCAGAGGCTCTGCAGCTGCTGGGCACGCTCAGCGAGGCTTCAGCAGCAGCAAATAGGGGCTGGCTGTAACTCAGTGTGCCCTGCCTGGCTGGCAGGAGTGCCCAAGAGGGTCTGAAGAACACTTTATAGCTGTGCCTGTACACCAGAAACAAGATGTTTTCCAAGCTGTACAAACATCATGTTCTCTCCCTGCCTAGCCTCAGCTCTAGCTATAAAGCTATTTTTGGCATGTCTCTAATATTTGTTTTCCTTCAATGCACTTGTCACCATGAACCTCCCTCAAATTAGGACTATCTTCCTGATGAAGCAAGCCTCAACTACTCATTTACATACCTGATAGTTTGGTGATTACTATGCTCAAACACTAAACTGCTGCCATTGTAGGGAGGCTTGGTAACACAGGATGAACACTTAACCAAGAGCACTGCCTGGCTGGGAGCACAACCAGCCACTCATCCTATTTATCAACAGAGGTTTGAGTCTGGCCTATGCCACATGAAGGGTTAAGTAAGAAAATATTACATGTGTAGCCAAAAATATATATATTCTCAGCTATATGTATGGGATATATATATATATATGGCCAAAAATAATATATATTCTCGGTTCTTTGCCCAAGCAAGGCCCTTGTATCAGAGCTGAGAAGTGAGTGGGAGCTCTGAAGGGCTAATCAGAAGGTGCAGAAGGACCTGTCTGGTTTGAGCAGCCCCTTGGGGCAGCTCCCCTGCTCAAATGACTGCTCTGCAGCACAAGGGCTCCCACCATTTGTGAGCAGAGGGGGGACAGCAGAGTAACTGGGCAGGGAGCCCTTCGTCCTAGTCCCAGCCCTGCATGGGCAGCTCTGTCTTTCTCAGTGTAATCCCTGAGCACATCAAATGCTATGTCAAGAGAGAAAAACGTGAGGTAAAAGCTCAGCTTGTCCCAAGCCCTACACAGAGCCATCCATTCCAGCACCAGTGACAAGCAGCCCATTCGTATCATCCCAACAGTCCAGACATTTCCACAAAACCAGCTGTGAGCTGGATTCCTGAGTTGTTAAGGAGCTGGCAGCAAGGGCAGATCACATCCTATTCCCTGGGTAAGTCCCAAGGAAAGGATTTCTTTGCAGAACACCAAGGCCACCTGCTCCATCCAGCTCCCTCAGGTTCTGCCCAGGGACAGGGCTGAAGGACCAGCTCTTCTGCTCCTTTCTGGCTGCCTCACCCTCCAGCCGATGGCTCAGCTGGGACCTGCACAGCTCACTCTGCCCTGACACAGCATCTCTAAAGTCCAAATCACTGCTGGCAAAGGCTGGGAATATGAACAGCTTTGTCTCAGGGCATTAATAACTGTCATGGAAGATTTATTTTAAATTACAATGTGGGCATGTAATCTTGACACACAATAAAACCTCACTGAACTCTTGCAGCACCAGGGCATCCACACGTTCAAGGCTCCATAAAAGGAGCTGACAACAAGAATGAAGAATATTTTTAATTTACAAATATTAAGAAGTTAGCATACTGACCCCAACTTCATCTGTGTTTAATTTTACCATGAAACACATTACACTCCCCCAATTTGGGTGCTCACCCACCAATAAATGGACCCTCGAGCAAAGCTTAAGAGTTGGACCCTGTAAAATATTGTTCCTTGGGGACAAGGCAGTGGTTTGGATGGAACCAAATGGAGGCCTTGAAGACAACAATTTCCAAGGGGGAAATGGAAAATGGAACAAAAAGCAGGGTAAGTTTGCAAAGAAGTCTTGCCTAAATAGTCATGCTTTTCATTGTTTTATGTTCATTATTTATTTTCATGCCCTACATTTCTCAATTACAGCAAAGCAACTGGCAGAGGTCCGTGTAGCAAATTATTAGCTAAAGTGGAGAAAATGGGGGAGGAGGGTGTGAAATCAGTAGAAATATGGTAAAGTTGGATGAGCTGTTGGCTAAAGCTGACACTGCCAGTAATACTGAAGGGAACAACAACAAAAAAAATTACCAGTCTGGATGGATCCCACCTACGTGGTTCTTAAGATCAGTTTCATTAGTGGCCTTAGTGAAAAGTAGGTTAATAACACAAGGCACAAGCAGCAAGGAAGGCAGGGCCAGCAAGGAGAAAATCGGATGATCTCAAGGGGCTGGAGGAAGAGAGGAGCTCACACTCAGGAGGTCACACTCAGGAACCAGTGCAGCTCATGTGAGCTCAGCAGCTGAAACAGAAGCATCTGGTATTCCCTGCCAGCCACCCAGCTCTCCCTGTCAGACATGGGAAAAGGCCAAGCAATGCAGAGCCAGCCAGCAGGGTGCTATCAGGGAGACACTAGGTATTATCACAAAAACCAGAAGTGCTCTCACACCTACAATATTCTCCTTAGCTCTGGACAGCTGTTTTAAAGAAGAAAACTCAAAACACGCAAAGAGAAGGACTAGCAAAATGTTATGGGGAAAGCAGACTTAGATTGAGGGGAAAGACTAAAAGCAAAATTGTTTTGCTTCAGAAATTGTTAACAAAACCAGTGGTGAGTTGGCACAGGAGAGCTGGGAACAAAGGATTCAGGAGGATCTGCACTGAGCAAGAAGAGCTATTCAAACAGAAAAAAACATGAAAACCAGACAGAAATTGAACACATCTCAGAACTGGTCATCACCAGGTACACACACCTCCTGAGCAAACTGGCCCCAGAGCATGGCAGGAGCCCCAGGCTGCAGAGCCTCCCTCCCTGGCTGCATGTGCCAGGGGTGACCTGCCTGACCCACTGCCTCCTTCTGCCCTATAAATGGAAGCAGCACACACAGCCAGTGTGAGGCCAGTTCCTTGGAGATGAGATCTTGCTCCTGGAACAGCAGCACGGAGCTAAGGTCAGAGCCTCGGCAGCCTGGAGGGAACTTCCTGAGCCAGCTGGGTAACTGGAGAGCTGAGGCTGCAGCTCCACGCAGGAGCCTTCCCATGGGAGAGGCACAGGAAGGACTGCCACTCTCCCCCGGGCCTCTGGAAGTGCCCACTGTCCCAGCAAACTGCTGCAGCCCTTGAAAACCACCCTTCAGAAGACCATCCCATCAAGGAAGCCAGAGGAAAGGAGAAGTTAAGACCCATCCCCTCAGTATTGGGAGTGACTGCACATGTGGGAGCTCCTTCAGTCCCCCTGCCAGGGACAGTTTGTTTCCAGGTACTCAGCTCAGCCCAGCAGCTGCTGTTCCCAAGCCAGGAACACACAGAGGTGCTGGACGTTGGCTCAGGCTTGGCCACAAGTTTGTTGTAGAGGTCTCTGACCTTGGGACCTTCCCCATCCTGTTTGCACTACTTTGTTCTAGGGAATAAAACCAACTTCCATCCTAGGCAAAGCCACTGGACGTGCTAAAACTGAAAGGCCCCAAATACCACAAGTGTTCTTAAAAGGAGCAACCTGTCTTACAGGAGGAATCAGCATGAACTGCAGCAGAGAGGAAAGGCTAAAAACTGCTATTTAGTAAGACCTGAGAAACACAAACTTGTGAACAAGACCCGAAGCCTGCAGAGGGGTGCTGTGGGCATTGCTCCAGAACCACCTCTGCTTTGATCAAGGTTTTAAGTGTCTGCTTTCTCTCACAGGGAATGGCA